CTGCTTGTCCTCAGAGGCAGGACATTCTCTGTCCTCAAAGTCTTTCTTGCCTAATGGATTTAAACAGACTCAACTCCCCTTTGAGCCATTAGCATAACATAGTAAAAATTAAATGAAACTTTGGGAAGGTTTGTTAGTGGGATTGTCCTAGTTTTAAAGGTCAGTTACTGATGGTTAATTGCGTTTCTGTGGTTGAATTTAGAGTTACTAGTGACCCTGTTGGAAAGACTGAGGGAGCGAGAGGGGAGAGAGCCCCAGACCCCTGGCCCAGACACGACCTTCTCTGCGCGTGGGGGAGGGCCTGCGGCTGCCCTTGTGCCTAGGGTCGTGGTGGCAAATTAGAGGGCATGAGCCTGTTTGTAACGCCCAGTCTGTAGCAGGCGGGAATGCCCCACAGGCTGCTGCCATGCCTTCGTGGAGAGCAGCGTGGAGGAGCGTTCGTGCCAAGTGGTCAGAAACCTGACGGGAGATGCATACTGCGATGAAAACTGCCAGATTTCACACAGTTTTGTCCCCAAATAAACTTGGGCCTCAGCCCCGGCTTCCGCAGGTGTTCTGGTGTCCTGTGTGGTGTTCAGAGGAAAAGCAGCCCAGGCTGGAGTTCCCAGGAGTGGCCGGCCACAGCACGCAGAGCCAAGCGCTAACGGTGACTTCGCAGTCAAACCCTGGCCGCCTGGTCCCGGCTGTGTGGTCAAGGGACTGGCAGGTGGCGGGGCGGAGGGAACGGCGCTGTTGATGCTCTGCCGACTTGGCCGTCTTTACTGGGTTTTCTGTACGGATCACATGAAGTCAGGCTGCGATAAAAACTGCATTACTGCAATAAGGGGGAGGGGCCAGGATCTTAAACAACCCTGTCGCACAGAGGACGTGGAAGAAACCAACTTAAAAAGGAAAGGGCTGTGAGAGAGCTCGGAGAGTGAAAGGCTTGCAGGGGAACCTCCTGCCCTATGGGCTGGCACCGCTTCAAGCAGTGCAGCTCGATTCTGTTAACCGGTGCGCTTTGTTTTAAAAAGCCCCAGGGGGAATGATCTTAGGGAGGGCGTCAGCGCCAGCTCCGGAACCCGGCGGCAGCGGGGCTCCGGGCG